AGATCAATTTTTGTGTAATACTTCGCCCGATTCAGTCGATCGAAGCAATCAGCAACTAGTGGGATAGGATAGCTATTCTTTACAGTAATCTTGTTCAAGGCTCGATAGTCACAGCACATTATAAAAGAACCATCGGCCTTTTTCTGAAACAATACAGGAGCTCCGTATGGCGACTTCGCAGGCACAATGATTCCACTCTCCAACATTTCTCCCAATTACTTCCTAAGCTCTTCAAGCTCAGGCTGAGACATACGGTATGGTGCCCTGGCAGGAGGTTTGGCGCCTGGAATAAGTTCAATCTCATGATCAATCGTCCTTCTTAGTGGTAATTTCTTTGGTAATTCTTCCGGCATGATGTCCTCAAATTCCTGATTAAGCTTTTTAACGGGTTTTGGAATAGGACCATTCGCCTCCTCAATCTCCTCTAATTGAAGAGTGCACAAAAAGGAGTGCTCATTTCTCTTGAAACCCTTACTAAATTGCATGGCTGAGATACTCCTCTCGCCCATCCTCCCAACCTGTGTAGAGATGACACACGGCTTATTACCCATCATCATTAACGAATCAAAATATGGCAACACTGTTGTCTTAGTATCCCGAAGAAATTCCAATCTTAGAATAAGCTTGAAATCATCCATCTGAACTGCAGATAAATTTGTCCTTCCCTCGAAAAGACCTGCTTTGATCAACATCGATTTCACCACTCCAGCTATTGGTTGAGCAGCAGAGTTGATTGCTTTGACTTTTCCACTATCCTTTTCTAGAACAAGTCCGGGCCGCTCTACTTCGATACATGCAAGGTAGTTGTGGGTAGCACCAGTATCCACTATAGCCCTGATTGGCTTCCCATTGTTTTTACATCAATGTACATTAAGCCTTTGGCCCTACAAATTCGAGCATTCGCTTCTTCCATCTTTGCCTCTTTCAATGGGACATCATCCTTTTCAGTAACCCGATGCGATAGTGTGTTGCACCGATGTGAAAATGCCCCAACTACGTCCTTATCCTTTTCAGAGTCGGTCTCACTATGACAATTAGCCTGCGGGGCCTCTTGCTTTGAACTTGACCCGCTACTTGCTAACTAACAATATGCATTCACCATTCGTTTCTGAGGACACTCCGACACCCGATGAGGTCCTTCACATAAAAAGCACTTCAATTGGGAGTGGCATCAGTTCGGCCCTCCGTTGTTTTTCCTTTGTTTCAGTTGTTACTATTAGGCCTTTGGCCCTACAAATTCGAGCCTTCGCTTCTTCCATCTTTGCCTCTTTCAATGGGACATCATCCTTTTCAGCAACCCGATGCGACAGTGTGTTGCACCGATGTGAAAATGCCCCAACTACGTCCTCATCCTCTTCAGAGTCGATCTCACTATGACAATTAGCCTGCAAGGCCTCTTGCTTTGAACTTGACCCGCTACTTGCTAACTAACAATATGCATTCACCATTCGTTTCTGAGGACACTCCGACACCCGATGAGGTCCTTCACATAAAAAGCACTTCAATTTGGGAGTGGCATCAGTTCGGCCCTCCGTTGTTTTTCCTTTGTTCCAGTTGTTACTATTAAGCCTTTGGCCCTACAAATTCGAGCCTTCGCTTCTTCCATCTTTGCCTCTTTCAATGGGACATCATCCTTTTCAGCAACCCGATGCGACAGTGTGTTGCACCGATGTGAAAATGCCCTAACTACGTCCTCATCCTCTTCAGAGTCGGTCTCACTATGACAATTAGCCTGCGGGGCCTCTTGCTTTGAACTTGACCCGCTACTTGCTAACTAACAATATGCATTCACCATTCGTTTCTGAGGACACTCCGACACCCGATGAGGTCCTTCACATAAAAAGCACTTCAATTTGGGAGTGGCATCAGTTCGGCCCTCCGTTGTTTTTCCTTTGTTCCAGTTGTTACTATTAAGCATTTGGCCCTACAAATTCGAGCCTTCGCTTCTTCCATTTTTGCCTCTTTTAATGGGACATCATCCTTTTCAGCAACCCGATGCGACAGTGTGTTGCACCGATGTGAAAATGCCCCAACTACGTCCTCATCCTCTTCAGAGTCGGTCTCACTATGACAATTAGCCTGCGGGGCCTCTTGCTTTGAACTTGACCCGCTACTTGCTTAATAGTTGTTACTATTAAGCCTTTGGCCCTACAAATTCGCGCCTTCGCTTCTTCCATCTTTGCCTCTTTCAATGGGACATCATCCGTTTCAGCAACCCGATGCGACAGTGTGTTGCACCGATGTGAAAATGCCCCAACTACGTCCTCATCCTCTTCAGAGTCGATCTCACTATGACAATTAGCCTGCAAGGCCTCTTGCTTTGAACTTGACCCGCTACTTGGTAACTAACAATATGCATTCACCATTCGTTTCTGAGGACACTCCGACACCCGATGAGGTCCTTCACATAAAAAGCACTTCAATTTGGGAGTGGCATCAGTTCGGCCCTCCGTTGTTTTTCCTTTGTTCCAGTTGTTACTATTACTGCCGTTAAAATTTCCTTGACGGCTATTATGATAGGTTCCCTAAAAGCCACAAGTGCTTTGATAGGCTCATTCTCTACTCTGAAAGTAACGCTCTCCCCCATTTGGGTTTGAGTTGGATCTGTAAGATCTGTTACCACCTCCAATTGCTTGATTACTCCCGAAGGTCGATCTTTTCTAGATTCTGTTTGGTAGTCGCTCAAGCATTCAGCGGCTCCCATGGCCGTGCTCAAATCAGTAACCTTCTGTCTTTGAAATTTCGTGCGTGTCCACGGTTTCAACCCTTCCATAAAGGTGAAGAGCTTATCCTTTTCCGACATATCTCGAATATTTAGCATATGCCTTGAAAAGGATTTCACATACTCCTTGATAGAGCTCGTGTGTTTCAGGTCTCGAAGTGCCCGTCTAGCCTGATACTCGACATTTTTCGGGAAAAACTGCAATATGATCGCTTCCTTGAGGAGATCCCAAGAATCTATTCGAACCCTGTGGGCCTGAATATCAGCATATTTGGTTCACCACCATAGTTTTGCATCTCCACCCAGATACATGGTAGCTGTGGTTACCTTTCTAGCTTCGTCTTCAATCGAAGTTGCGAGAAAGTACTGTTCCATATAAAACAAGAAGTTTTCGACTTCTTTTGCATCACGTGCCCCTCCGTAGGTACACGATTCAGGAATTCTAAGTCTAGGAGCATACTCAGGTACGAGAGCTTGCCCATTACCTACCGCACGTTGGAGTACCCGCAATTGAGCTCTCAACGCTTCCATTTCATTCTGCAGATCAGGAATGATTGCAGCAGCTTCAGTCATTGCTGCGCAAGCCCTTTAGCTTTCATCCAGTTGGATGTGTAATCCACGAATCTCGAATTCGACCATCTCGACTTTTTCCTCGAGACCTTCCAAAGTATAGCACAACCTAGTAGTTGTCTCATCAAGCGCATCCACGCGCTGTTTAGTAGTACCCTTCTTTTAAGGCTCTACCGGTAGTGTGGAATATAATTGGATCCATAGCTTTCTTATTGAGGGTTGTGAGCCGCAGCTTTGATACCAACTGTCACGGGGTGCCTTTCTTCTTGGCACAGAAAGGGACACCGTGTGGCAGTAGTCTACTCCGCTAGACTACCTTCAGCCTTTTCTCTATCGCGTCGAAACGAAAGAAAGTTTGATTACAATTTTGTAGAAAGCTTACAATAGAGAATTTGAATACATTGAAAGTAAATTGAACATTGATTGATGAAAACTGAACTTTACATTTGATGAAAGCAAAAAATTACAATTGCTGGTGTAGGGGGCGGACACCAGTGAACTTGAAAGATATTTGAATGACTAATACCCCCTATAATAGCATTCTGAACAAAAATCTAAGTGACAGGAGTAGACGTTTAAAAGACGAGGAATCATACTAAACGTTTACCAATATCAGATCTATTTTACAACTGAAATAACTATTACAATGAAAAGAAAATTATAACTTAAATTTGAAATAATATTTACAATGTGCGACCGAAATTGGACAAACTGCGGCTGCAATAATGTTAAGGGGCTAAGTAAAGCTGCAGTCCTTGACACCCTGGGACGTTCTATCTCCACACGAGACTACCTACCCCCCAGGTGCTCTACCTTAACAAGAGGCTATCGCCTCTCTCCGAGGGGGGCTCTATCTCTACGCATGACCATCGATCCCCTTGGGGGGCACTGTACCTCTACGTAAGATCACCGACCAACGTGAAATTGCCTATAAGGTCATCTCAACACTTAGCTATAAAATCCCGAATGAATTGACGATGATACATGACGGTTACCTCAAACCCAACCTCCGAGCGGGAAGTTAAGATCCCCCACTTAGAACGTGGGGATGGTGGGGAGGCCAACGTGGGACACATGGCACCATTACCACCAGGCTTTCACCCAGCTTCCGAAGGTTATAAATACCTACGAGGGCGACACAGGTATAGAAAATAGCATTTTTCCTAGCCATCTAAATTCATTTTCATATTTCCTAGTATCATTTACTGATTATTACACCGGAGGTAAAATGGGTGAGAAAGCCCCGCCTTCATTTTTCAGGTTACACACGCCCAACGGAGTAGCAGGAACGCCAAATGCCACCAGGTAGACGGGAAGATATTATTCCACCACCATCTCAAAAAATATCCTTCATTACATAGATGGATTTCTTTTTGCTTTATAGTCGCAAAAATGGACATAGCGGCAAATGCGTGACTAAAGTAAAAGATCTGGATTACTGAATAACAAAATTGTATACATTGGCTATAGCTACCGTGATTAAACTTAAAAGACCCTAATCATC